ATCATTACGTCTACTTAGTGTGATGTCAAGGAATTCCTATTGGTTAACTCCTACTGGTCAATTTTACGGTCGTCCTAGATATCAATGTCACATACCCCAGTGTTGTTTCTTATTGGTTGTTCTGACTATCTATCAATGTCACTTCAAATGTGGCTTCCCATTGGTCGCCTTAACTGTCAATGTCACAGACTTCGATGCTGTTTCCTATTCGACCTAACTGTACAAATACACATAATCTGTAGAGTTTTACTACCCGGATCCGTAGTCCGGAATCCTTATCCTCTCTTAGACTATGACCACGTACTTTCTGGATGTTTGTAGAATACAGGTTCTACTTTGTATTAAGTCTTCTTCTTTCATTCAATGGGGGTCGGGATAATCGGATTAGAGTAGCAGGTCATGTCAACAGCTTTTACACTAGTGGTTAAGTGGATTATAAGACCTACATATTTCAGGAAAAGCACGGAATTCGGTGAATAGCTCTCATTAGAGCTATACGATTTGAACTTCATGGATGATCTAGCCGTCCTGTCCCACATACAGAAACAAATGCAAGTAAAGAAGGCCAGTGGACCACCAGCTTCTGCAGCACTAGGTTTCAACAAACACAATAGGAAAAGCTAGATCCTCAGGTACAACAAAACATGCACCAGTTAAATCAAAGTTGGTGGAGAACCTTTAGGAGATGTGAAAACCTTCACATATATAGATAGTATCATTGATGCGCACAGTGGAACAGATATCGATGTAAAGACATCGATTAGCGACTCAAGGGCAGCATCCCTATAATTGAAGAACATTTTCAACTCAAAACAACTATCAACCAACTCTAAAGTTACAATTTTGAAAACAAATGTTAAGATAGTTCCTCAGTATGGGATGAAAACCTAGAGAACTAGGAAAGCCATCATCCAAAAGATACAAGTGTTTATTAACGGCTATCTTCGCAAGATAATGCATATCCGTTTACCAGACACCATGAGCCATAATCTACTGTGGGAGAGAGCAAACCAGATTTCTGAATCTGAGTAAGAAATTAAGAAAACTTGCTCGAGATTAACTGGAAACACACTGCGAAAATCATCTAACTGCACCATGAAGCAAGCAAGCAAGCCCCAACTTCAAGGTGAAAGGAAGAGGTATACCAGGGAATCCAAATCGCCGTGAATTGCAGACAGACATGGAATAAACGAATAGCGCTTGGAAAGAACTGGAAAGGTGAGCAAAGGACAGAATTATTCGGGGAATGCTGGTCGGCGACCGATGCTGTATTAGCGTAAAACGGGAATAAGTAAATAGGCAATCAAAACCGTAGTACTGTTATGTTCGTCACTAGGTACGCTTGAAGCTATTACGAGTTTATTTTAGTCGATAAACACGAACGAGACAATGAACCAGCATCCAGGTAGGCTACCTTGAATCCCAAGCTGTAAAACAGAAGTCTTGATAAGCGTAGAAAGTATATTCTACAAACAACCAGCAATCACAATACAGTACCATCAAGCACACAACTCTCGTTTATTTATACATCATAGAAACATCCTTAGGACAGTCACAACAATAGCACACTAAAATATACAGCAGCCAATCACTACCATGGGTTTTCCTGGTGGGAAATGAAATCTCAATGTCAACTGATCCGCCCATGCTCGCAAACGTGAAATCCAAGTTACGGGGCATTTATCAAGCGAGTTCTGGGGGATTTAACATCCCCAACAAGTACATGATTCGCCACTTTCCGGATACCTCTGCATAGGTCTTTTACTCAAACGCTGATTGCACACTGGATAACATTATCATCTTTCACGTATGCCATCTGAATAACTTGATCGACTAATTGATGATTACTCATTATGAAAGTCAGAAATTACATTGAATACTATTTTTAGAAGTAAAAACTTTCTATTCTTACCCTTATGTAACTAATTAGTTGTACTAATATGAACTGATTATGTAATCTTGTCAATTAATAAATGATTATTTAGAGAGAATATATATTTTGAGATAAACTTGTATCAATGATTCATAATCATCTATTTTTAGGATGAAATTGCTAGTTCATTGTCCAATTACATTGAACAGATATATATACATTCTTGGTCATCTAACATTCTTTCTAAGTGCAAACTTCATTTAAAAAGAAATTCACTTATGGCGTAGGCGAGATATCCGTCTGCCAACTACTAAAGGACGAGTCTACTGCACGGTAGTTCGCTTCATCCTAGTTTATGGCTGTGAAACATGGATACATATTGCGATAAACAGTTTCAATGATCTATTATCGTCAACTTAGCATTAAATTGCTAGTTCACTGTAAATCCTATAAATAGATTAATTGATGAGAAGTATTATCTCGGTCAATGTTTACATATCTTTCAAAACGCAAAGAAAGTAAACTACAGATGGTGGAGAAGATTTGTAGCTCAGGTGGATGATTGTGGTGGTGGTGTTTGGTTCTCTGAGCTGAGTGTTTTGGTTGTGGAGCTTTCATTGTTCTTCTTCTGAACAACATCATCAGCACAAACTTCAGATTGCAGAAGTGAAGTATTCGAATTTCTCCACGTTTGACCTGTAGCTTGTTCTGCTAACCTCGATCTTGATTGGTTGCTGTTGACTTTTGACCTGTCGTTGTTTGCACCTTTGTTTTGATTGTATCCCCCTTTTGATCTGTTTCTTGATCCTATGTCACCGATGATTTTTCTGATTGGTTGATAAATTGGGTCAATGTCGATGTGTTTGTTGATTGCTGAGTGCCAAGTTTCTAAAAATTCTCTAGTGTTCACTGTCGCCCCCCTACCCAGTATTTCCACATTGTTTCAATCAAATGTGTATCCATGATTGTTGGTATGTATTGATATATGCGAAGCGTACACTACACTATGACGAATTTCACGCATTATACCAAACAGAATCATAATGATATATCAGTAGTAGATGACATGCGTTGGCATTGGGATTAGTGATAGGGAGTGAAGTAGTTGAGTGTGTCGACTGCTACACATATCACCAGAGTCTCAACAGAAATAATAGTTTGGTATGTGACAAAATCTCAACACGGATACAGAAAGCTCAACAAGAATTTCGCCAACTTGGGTCACTTATGGCGTAGGCGAGATATACGTCTACTAACCAAAGGATCGCCTCATTCTGCATAATAATTATCGAACTCAGCCAATAAGAATAGAGAATATTTTTAGGTTACTAGTGTTTGATTGTAGGTGTCTTTGAAGCATTACTCATACATCTTAGGACAATCGAGTAAGCAATGCTGTTGTTAGTAAACGGATACTAGGTAAGGATGGCAAGCCAATAGATGAAGTAGTGAATCTTCATCGATTGAGGTGGTTGGGACGTGTTTTACGTATGTCCAACCACTAACTACCTCGACGAGCGATCTTGTGTAGGGGTGAGCAGGAAGAGAACAAGGGGGAGGCTAATCAAGTTAGTTCGTGGTCCATGAAGTCAGTGATATTTGGACTAAGCAACCTTAACAGATAAAGAACTCTTTAGTTGGAATCTGTGAGATTATCATAACCAGTGATTAGAAGAGACCTTGAATGTCATAGTTCAAAGTCACCCAGGTAAATTCTTTATTTGTCATCCCCCGAATTTTAAGCTTCAGAATTACTCATGATCATTTTTAAATGAAATTTATTTCTCGGGATTATACTTCTAAGAAACAAATCTTCCTTCCCTTATCGTTTCGATTACCGGCTAATACTGTTTCTACCTCTACTAATTATGATATTTGAACTGACCATTTCATCACTTTTCCTTAATTAGAGGACACGGCTACTTGAACTGATGTTGTGTACGTACGTGCTAAGTTCTACGTTACAACTGACTGATTGAATAATTTTGAATGTATTGCTTATCACATGAAGACAATATTCAAAGTCATACATGGAACTTTATCGGCTCAGATGGTTGAGACATGCTCTCTATCTCCAAAATCAACCTCTACAAACCAACGCTTCGGAAACAGATTCGAGTGTAAATCAGTTTTTGAAAAGAGCTAAGGGGCGAACAGTCAAGCCAATTAGGTAATCTCTTCTTACCCAAGCACGAATGACATACAATGTCTCGATCAACAAACAGACAGAGAGAAAGGCAACAACATGTATCACAAATGTCTCTCTTACTGTGGAAATTATTAAAAATTGTACATACATACGCACATTCACATACAGTAAGTCAGATGCAACGTAGAACTTCGTACGTAAGTACATCAGTTCATGTCGCCATACCACATCAACACAGAGATGTAATTGTCAATTCAAATCCAATAGTAGAAGAGGTAGTAAAGGTATTACAAGTAATCGGAGAGGTTAGGATTAGAAGATATTATTCAAGAAGTATGGTTCAGTGAGAAAAGTTTACAAAGTTGAAGAAACCAGAAGATTAGGATTTGAGAGAACACAAAGAATAAATGCACCGGCGTCATTGCGAACGATTTTGAGCCATGTCATTCAAGGACTCTAACCATCGATTATTATCATCTCGCGGACCCCAACCAGGTAGTCGACAATTACCGACATGACTCAGTCCACTTGTCAATGACTTCATGCATTTCTGCCATGTTTTGGTCTGGCCGCCCCTAGCTTTCTTCCAACCTATTCCTACACTACAAAACATAGCTCGACGAGGCAGTCGGTGGTTAGGCATACGCAACACATGTCCCAACCACCTCAACTGATCAAGTTTCAATGCTTCATCTATTGATTTGCCATCCTTACCTAGTACTCGTTTCCTAACGACAGCATTGCTTACTCGGTTGTCCCACGATATACGAGCAATGCTTCGAAGACACCTATGATCGAAAACCAGTAACCTACGAACATCTTCTACTCTCACTGGCCATGTTTCACAGCCATAAAGTAAGACGGAGCGAACCACTGCACAGTACACTTGTCCTTTAGTCAGCAGACGGATATTTCGCCTACGCCATAAGTGACACACACACACAGCAAGATATTGATCGATATCACACAGAAGAGAAATAAACAAAGTTAAACTGTCTGTCTATTCAAGAGTATACATATGTACAAACACGAAAAGCAGAGATTTCTGATTCTGTTTTCAAAAAAAAATCAAAAAAATTGTGTATCATGACTGAAACTGCCAGCCATCAATAAATTGGTATACATTGCTTTATAACGATCACAATGCAGTTGAATGTATAAACGATGTGGACCTAATCGACTAGTTAATTTATTTGGACAAGGTAATTCTGTATAGAATATGTATAATTCATAATTTGGACGTCTAAGATCCACAGGACGTTTCGGTGGTAGCCATGTTTGTGGTATACTAGTAAATTGGAAATTGCCTTCTTCTCCTTTGGCTGATAATAATTCAATCTGTAACGAAAATAATTTTTGAATAAGGCGGAAAGGAAGCAAGATAGATAAAGAAAATATAACAAGCAAGCAAGCAAGCATACAAAAGTCAATCGATATATTCAATGAAGTTTTAATGAAGCTGGAGATTGGCATGTTTCATTGAACTGCACAATCGATCGATCAAAGTTAGAGCATTCCATTGAACAGAAACGGTACAAAAATACTAATATGGCCGTTTATTTTCTAGTATGGCGATTAACTGTAGTACGACCGCATGATCCTGTAATCAAGAGTCGAACCTAAGACCTATGATCACTCATCATCATCATCAATAGTAACGTAGAACTTCGTATGTACGTACAGAAATCAGTTCAAGTTGCCATACCACATCAACACAGAGATGTAATTGTCAATTCAAATCCCATAGTATTAGTAGAGGTAGTAAAAGTATTAGAAGTAATCGGAGAGATTAGAAGTTGGAAGATGTTATTCAAGTAAGGTATTATTCAATGAGGTAAATTGAGAAAGAGAGAAAGATAGAGGTGATGAGGAATTCAAAACATTTCTATTCGAGATAACACAACGAATGGATGCACCTGCACCATTGCAAACGATTTTGAACCATATCAATTAAGGGTCTCTAACCACAAGACCTATGATCTTGTCTGTCTGCAGAGGCTTAACCTTGTCTTGACCATCAAAAAGCCAATACATATATATAGTCGATAGTCACACAATGTCGTCGATTGACTAAAGTTAACCATTAACAACATTGTTGACTGCCGGCAACTTAGAGGGTTGTTGTTACATCTGAAGAATTATTTATTTAGAAGAAAATAATAGTCACAGTTCTCTACTTGTGTTAATTTATTGCACGATCGATTTCATCTGAATAAATATTCTTCTGAAATTTTGAAAACTACAATTAAAACTGCTCAATTCTTGGTTATTTTCTCCTACACAGAGAGTTGCGGATTATTCGAATTCCCCCCATCATACAATGTAGTATCCAAACATATATATATATTTATATATATACATATATACTACTAATAATGTAAAATAGTAGTAATAATAACTTACAGGAATATTTTTATCAAATAATGTTTTTAAAAATTTCAAAATCATATCGTATTCAGTTTCTTTCATATGCCCAGTAGTCGTAGTAGTTGGAGGAGTCTTAGTCGGTAGATTAATCCAACCACTTGTACTAGGTGACCATGGTGGATTGAATGAATCCTCCGTTAAATTTTCAAATCGATTCACATTTTGGGATAAATTACACAGGAAATTTAAAAATACATCGGAATCTAACATGTAACTGTAATCTATGAGCATAGTGTAAGGGAAAAACAAGGAAGAAAGAAACAGAAACAAGTCAACAGTCAACACAAGAAATCAATACTTGGTTATATTAGTATTTTGCATTACGGGGTTGTGAAGATTGTTAAGTTACACATTCTTTGAAACCACTGCTGAGGAGTCCCATACCAGGACGAAACGGCCGTCTTTCAGTGCTTCCAGGTTTCTAATGGTGGTCTAACATTGATCGATTCATGGTTTCAAAAAATGTATATTAGTACTATTATTATTATTATAATTAATAATGAATAAAGTTACTTCTAAGGGTGAACCTGATGCAAATGTGAAAGTGTGGATCGGCTACAAAAAAACAAGGGCACCATTTCAACAATTCAAGAACATCTGCAACTCAAAACTTCAACTATCAACCAACACCAAAATCAGAATTTTCAATACAAATGTCAAGGCAGTTCTACTGTATTCGGGCGTAAACTTGAAGAATTACCAAAGTCATTAAGCAGAAAATACAAGCATTCATTAACAGTTGTGTAAGCGAGATAATTCGTAACCATGAAACAAGACAACATCAGCAACAACCTAATATGGGTAAAACAAATCAGATTCATGTAGATGAGGCAGAAGTGCTGAACGCGGATAGGATACACATTGAGAAAAGCACCCAACTGTGTCACAAGACAAGCCGTCACTTGGAACCCTCAAGGTCAAAGTCGCAGAGGAAGGCTACGGAACACATTGCACTGAGAATTGGAGACAAGTATGAGAAGAATGAACAATAATTGGACAGAAATGAAAAGGAAGGTTCAAAATGCTGGTCAGTGGCTAATGCATCATTGGGGTGGAAACATGCGAAAGTACGTAAGCGGGTATACAAAGCATATATATATAACACAGAAAGGTCATCAACTCACCTCAAATTATAAAGATATCTTGCTTACAATTATATCAGCTAACATGAAGGCTTAAGGGTAAGCGGTTTATTATTCATTACTGTCACACGTGTGACATGTTTGTGTACGTCATTGAAGTTAAATGTAGAAAAAACATTCCTAACCACAAGCTAATTTGATTTGTGACATTTTGTGTGTGTGTGTGTGTGTAGGTGAGACTGAATGATGAGAAGCACCACACAATCAATTCACAATGGGGTGTATGTCAATTACCACATGCTCGACAATAATACGATTTAAATTATTTTTGTTAAGTCATCTATCACTCACTGTACGCCTCTTGTAAACGAAGAGGTTAAGAGGAAATGGAATATATATATATATATATATATATATATATATATATATATATATAAAGTCATAAAATCGATCAATGGTATACTGTCATTAGAAACCTAGAAGCACTGGGCGACGTTTCATCCTAGTAAGGGACTTATCAGCAATGCGCAATGAAACTCAACAATCTCCATAATCGCATTATAAATATAGATATATATATCATGACCGGGATGACTCTCTTAATTCTCGTTTTCGCTAAAGGGATAGTCGGGATCGTGGTTGGCATATGCCACGTGGACGACGTGATGACTTCCGAAGCTCCCCGAATCGTCGAAACGATGATCGTGGTCGTCGCGACTACAGAGGTGGCTACAATGCTTCACGTGATCGTGAGGGAGATCGTTTCGATCGAAACAGTGATCGAGATTCGTTTGGCCGTCAGCCTGATGGCAGGTACGGTGGTGGTCCTCCTAGCGATGGTTTTGGGGCCCCGAATAGCAGCCGTTTCCAAGTGGAATATCCGGCCCGGGTGGGTTTGAAGGTTTCGACAGTTCTCTCGGTCGTATGATGAGGAGCGGTCCTGCTAGAGGCGGTTTCCCAGGACCTAATTTTGACTCACGTTTTGGACGTGGGGCCTATCGTGGTTCAATGGATCGAGGAAACCTGGGTTATGGTGGGCCGAATGATCCAATGTATGGTCACTTTGATGGTAGTACCGGTGATGCAGAACCGATTGGTAACGCTTATGATATGAGTGAAGCTTCACTTTCTCAGCCACCATATGAAAGTGGCTCAATGAGCGGAGGTTTTCGAGGGGGTCACGGAAGCAGCGGTCGAGGTATCCAAATGCAGGGGTCTCGCGGAGCTCCCGGTCGTGGTGGAACATCAATGGGACGTGGAGCAGTCGCCCAAGAACGTACAGCTAATATATATATATATATATATATATATATATATATATATAGAGAGAGAGAGAGAGAGAGAGAGAGAAAGGGAGGGAGGGAGAGAGAAGACGCAGATTAGCTAAAAAATATCTACACATAATTTTCAAGTATCTTTTCTAGTCTTCATACAACTCTGATCACCTGAAAATCTTTTTTTGAGTAACAACAACATTGTAGACAAGAGGACATCACTGCATACTGTTGATATGTTATCTTGTGAATGGTGGCATGTACCAGATTACTACTACTTACTATACATAATCTCACACATAAAAAAGAGTATCGTACGCAGTTATGGATGATTTAGACTTCGCAGATTATCCGGCTCTTCTATCAAACACGCAACGAAAAATGAAAGAGAAGATGATCAGTGTAGCAGCAGCGTCAACAACAATAGTGGGTCTCATTATACACAAGATTCTTCAATACATGTTAGGATATTCATCCAATATCCTAAGAGAATTATTGGTCAATTCCAATTGGTTAATCCCTACTGGTCAATTTTATGGTCGTCCTAGATATCAAGGTCACGTGCTCCAGTGTTGTTTCTTATTGGTTGTCCTGACTATCTATCGATGTCACTTCGAATGTTGCTTCCTATTGGTCATCTTAACTGTCAATGTCACAGATTTCGATGCTGTTTCCTATTCGACCAAACTGTATAAATACGCATTATTTGTAACATTTTATGACCAGGAGCAGGACCCAGTCCCGGTTCACTAGTCCGGAATCCTGATTCTCTTCTGGACTCAGACCTCGTACATTCTGGATGCTTGTAGAATACAGGTTCTACTTCATATTCAAGTCTTCTCAGTTTTACTCAATATGAGGCAACATGTCGTGTCGAAGGATCCTTGATCCTCGCTCTCGTTTTTTTCCGACTAGGTAAACTCGTAATAGCTCAAGCATATCAACTTGACGTGTTTACGTGCAGGCGTAACAATACAACAACAACATGCACCAACCAAATCACACTTCATGGAGAAGCTTCGACAGATGTAAACACACCTTTACATTATCTGGGCAGTATCATTGATGAGCGTGATGGAAAAGGTATAAGACCAAAGAACACTATACGCTGAGTATTGAAGATAGACGTGAGAAGAATAATGAACACCAATTGGAAAGAAATAGAGAGTAAGGCCTCGGACAGAGTAGAATGAAGAATGCTAGTGGTCAGTGGCATAAACTCGATTAAGGGTAACAGACAGTAAGTAAGTAAGTACACAATTTTGGCAAAAACATACATGGAAATGAAAAAAAAAAGTAAAAAGTACCGATTTTTTTTTTAAAACGAAAAAAAAAACCCACAACAAACTAAAACAACTACAAAATTCATGTTTTCATCAATTGAAACTTACCACAAAGAATAACATTATACAGTAATTCATTAAAACATGTGAATTGAATTGAAAATTGAGCAATCAGTTGCGAGATATCATAGAATGTTGAAAATGGAAACTGTGAAATAAAAAAAATATGACAATGTATGAATCATCAAAAATAAGGAAACAGGGATAAAAATATAACACAAATTAAGATAAATTGAATAAATTGTTGAGGGCATTACTGTTATCTTGCATTTCCTTGAATGTTTTCTTGCTTAGATGTAAACTGCCGTCATGACAGCATTGATTGTTACGAGAGACAAGCAAAGGACGAGTGTACTGCTCAGTAGTTCGCTCCATTCTCCTATACGGATGCGAAACATGGACAGTGAGAATAGAAGATGTTCGTAGGTTACTAGTTTTCGATCATCGATGTCTCCGAAGCATTGCTCGTGTATCATGGGATAACCGAGTAAGCAATGCTGTAGTTAGGAAACACGTTCTAGGTAAGGATGGCAAATCAATAGATGAAGTAGTGAAACTTCATCAGTTGAGGTGGTTAGGACATGTGTTACGTATGCCTAACCACTGACTACCTCGAAGAGCTATGTTTTGTGGTGTAGGAGTAAGTTGTAAGAAAGCTAGGGGTGGCCAAACCAAAACATGGCACAAATCCATGAAGTTACTGACAACTGAACTGAGTCATGTTGGTAGATGTAGACTACCTGGTTGGGGTCCGCAAGACGAAAGTCATCAATGGTTGGAGACCTTGAACGAAATGGCTCAGAATCGTTTGCAGTGGCGCAGGTGCATCTACTCTTTGTGTCCTCTGTAATTCTAATGTTCTGAATTCCTCACCAACTTTATCTTTCTCTTTTGAAATTTATTTCACTGAATGAAACTTCTCGAATCATATCTTCGAACCCTAATATCCATTAACGGTAATACTCCCACTATCTCTACCCTTATGATATTTGAAGTGATTATTGAATATGACTATTCGGTACAGTTGAATTCCATAAAAACAAATTCAAGTATTTTCAAGAAAGAGAGAGATAAAAGGTAATGAGAAAATGAAAAAAATGGTTTCCCGACTGAAATCATCAATCAATCATTGTTAGACCATCATTAGAAACATGAAAGCACTGAAAAACGGTCGTTTCGTCCTGGTATGGGACTACTCATCAGTGCCAGCGCGCATCCACTTCAGGACTCATCCAGGAGCTTCGGTTCTGTACGCGAACGCTAGACTTGTGGACAACTGAGCCGGTATCCAACCATCTTAGTGTTTAACTCTAGTCAATCTAGACATTTCGCGTCACATCACCCATTTGTCTTTGGTAGTTACTGCCTAAAGCCGACAGGTTTGTACTCCACTGGTTACGTCTTTTCGACTAGAACTCCGAGAGTTTTCTCACGAAGTCAGTCACTAATGAGCGTATTTTACGATTTTTCAATCAATAAAAACAGGGTTAACTTACAGAATCTTTTTTAAATGTAGTTGATCTATCCACAGTAGTAGTATTAGTAGTAGTTGACAATTTAGAAGAATGAATTTTTAATAGATCATAAATTTCTTGATCAAGTTTACTGAGCATAGATGAATACCATTGAGTTAATCGAGGATGAGGAACTGCATAAATTATGATATAAAATGGAAGTATTTTTTTTGTAAACAAAGATGAGGATAGATAAATAAACAATGAATAATGGTACAGTACAAAATATCAACTCTGCCTGGAACCCTACTTAGGGTTACCTGTCGGTTTCAAGTTAGGAGATAAAGGAGGATGGTTGGACATGGGGTCGGTCGGTAACCTATTTCCGTAGAAATCTAACTCGTTTAAAAAAAAATACTAACCAGGAAAAAAATAATTCGCCGGTCAGCGGACTCTATGCTACCTTCATTAGGAGTAACAGGTGTAGTATATTGTTCAACAGTGAAGACGATATCCAATGGTTTCTCACTTTCAAATACATACTGTTTATGAGATTGGGTAGTTGTTAAATTAGTTATGTGAGTCAAATTAAAGAGAGATAGGTGTTTATTTTAGCAAACGAACCCATAAATATTAGAAGTAAGAAGATCTAATCCACACGACACTGGAACAACATGAACAGATATAGTTAGTTCATCAACAGCAGATCGATGCCTAACCACATCAAAACGTAAAAACACTATTGATAAGTGTTTCTTCAAAACAAAACATCACAGAATCACATACAGGAGGCGCGGCAAGCTTAATAATAACAATGAATTGATATACTGTATGTACAGTGAAATGAGAAATAAGCTAATATGCATCATCTATCTAATTGTGAACTCAGTTTGGAAGACCGGTCAAAGTTTCTCAACCTACCTCACATTTTAGCAAGTTACGCTATACTACTTAAATAAACCAAGTAGCTAGTTTGAGTTATATACAAATAGTTGACTTTCTTCAACAACAATAAGGTGTATTTTAAACCATCATTTGTATTATTCCTCTGCTTGTGTGAAATACGTTGAGAATTTCATATCATAAGAGCAATTAGTTGACTTCGAGAATGATGTGTACTGAAGAAAAACTATTACAACCAATACTCTTATCAGGTCAGTCATACAGTGCTCTTGCATGAGAAGTTTTCAACGTTTTTAGCTCCGCTCTTAGTAAATGGCTCTACCACTGGAGATGGAAATGCGTGAGGTAAGACATTTTTAGGGTCGACCTTTTCTAACCCCTTCTTTCCTTGTCAGAAGGCAGCATCACCGCAGATGCTGGTTATCCAACGGAGACACCTTACTACTGTCAAACCCCCATTACAGTTAGCAGTACGACTTTGCCCTCAGACCTTGAGTTACTGCTTTTAGTCTCACTGTTCTCCAATCGACCTGCCTGGTATGGCTGTCCACCTTATTTACTTACTTACGCCTGTTACCCCCAATGGAGCGTAGGCCGCCCACCAGTTTTCTCCAACCTACTCTGTCCTGGGCTTCCCTCTCCAGTTCTGTCCAATGTTTGTTCATTCCTCTCATATCTTTCTCTATTTCTCGGCGTAATTTGTTCCTTGGCCTTCCTCTTTTCCTTTTGCCTTGAGGGTTCCATGTGAGGGCTTGTCTCGTGACGCAGTTGGGTGCTTTTCTTAGTGTGTGTCCTATCCACCAACTCCACCGCTTCTTCCTGATTTCCTACTCCACTGGAATCTTGTTTTGCTCTCTCCTACAGTAAGTTGTTGCTGATGGTGTCTGGCCAACGAATCCGAAGTATTTTGCGTAGACAACTGTTCATAAACACTTGTATCTTCTGGATGATGGCTTTCGTAGTTCGCCAAGTGGCTGTCCACCACTGTAGCCGCCATATTAATCATCTCTCACTCTTTACACGTACATATACATATGAATCACATTTATCAACTTACTGATTGAATGAAATGTCAGCATACATTCTAATAGAATATGCGGCCATAATGATTTTAAATGATCATTAAATGGTCGAGATTTCAACCAATCGAGTATAGTTCTCGCTTCAGTTAATGCCTCATTTCTAGCTAGAAAAAATAAAATACAAAATCAATAAGCATACCAAAACAAATATCTGGAAGTTGAAATGTATATGCACACACACACACACACTAACCAATCAATATTAAATCCTATGGTTGTTAAGTGTATAGATATTTATTGAATTGAAAAATGGGACTATAAACTTTCAGTAGTGCATAAACAGATATATACATACATACATAGACAGACAGACAGATACAACGCAGAACTTCGCACGTACGTACATCAGTTCAGGTCACCATAACACATCAGCACACAGACGCAACTGTCAGTTCAAATGCAAGAGTCATAGCGATAGTAGAAGTATTTGTAGTAATGTAGAAGATTAAGATGTGAAGATATTATTCAAGAAGTATAATTCAGTGAGATAAGGTTAGAAAGAGAAAGGTAGACGTGTTGAGGAATTCAGAAGGCTGGAATTTCATAGAACACAAAGAGTGGATGCATCTGCGCCATTGCACACGATTTTGAGCCATTTCGTCGTTCAAGGTCTCTAACTATCGGTGACTATCGTCTCGCGTAGCCCAACCAGGTAGTCTATACCTACCAACATGACTCAATCCACTTGTCAGTGACTTCATGGATCTGTCCTATGTTTTGGTTTGGCCACCATTAACTTTCTTCCAACTTACTCCTACACCACATAACATAGCTCGTCGAGGTAGTCGGTGGTTAGGCATACGCAACAAATGTCCCAACCACCTCGACTGATGACGTTTCAATACTTCATCTATTGATTTGCCGTCCCTACCCAGAACTTGTTTCCTAACGACAGTATTGCTTATACGGTTGTCCCACGATACACGAGCAATGTTTCAGAGACATCGATGATCGAAGACTAGTAACTTACGGAAGTCCTCTACTCTTAAAGGCCAAGTCTCGCATCCGTACAGTAGGACGGAGCGAACTGCTGCACAGTACACTCGTCCTTTAATCAGCAAACGGATATCTCGCCTACGCCATAGGTGACGCAGGTTGGCAAAAGCCAATCGAGCCTTATATACATACATACTACGACTACTGCCCACTCGTGTAACTTATCATGGAGTAAAGGCCGCCGGCAAACATTCTCTAACGAACTCTGTCATTTGGTCAGCTATTCACATGTTCCCAATTGTTATAATCCATATGATATGCTGGAAGCTATTACGAGTTTACCTTACTCGGTAAACGGAGCAAAGATCAACGATCAAGGTTTTAGTAAGCACACAACGCAAGCTTATGTATACAGTGATAAAACGCCATTGGTGAGAGTCACAAAATAGCGTAACTAAAATAATTCATCAACCAACCAATGACAGTGAAGGATTTCCCGAGTTGGAAATATATAAGCTGAAGGTCATCAGCTAAGAGTCGTTGGTGCGCAAATAATAAAATTCGAAATTTCAGATGAAAATAGTAAAATTAGGACCTTTTCCAAGTGAGCTGTGGGGATCAAACACCAACACAACACCTTTTTGTCTTGAGGGTTGCAAGTGACGGCTTGTCGTGTAACGCAGTTTAGTGGTTTCCGTAATGTATGGTCCTATCCACACTCCCGGCAATTCTCGCTAATTTCTTCCTCAGCGGGAGAAAATCTGGTTTGTTCTCTCCTACAGCAGGGTTGATGCTGATGGTATCCGACAAACAGATTCGAATTAGTTTGCGTAGTACAACTATTAATAAACACTTGTATCTTGTAGATGATGGCTTTGGTAGTATTCCAAGTTTCCGCCCCATATATAGTAGAACTGTCTTGACATTTGAATCGAAAATTACGACTTTGGAGTTAAGTTCTTAGTTGCCTTTGAGGAGGGGATAGTTTTTTAATTGTAGAAGTAGTACCCTTGGTGTGCTAATCTGCACCTTCGCATCTGTATCAGACCCTCATATGTAAAGGTTTTTACATATTCCGAAGATTCTCCGTTAAGTGTGATTTGATTAGTGCATGTTTTGTAGTATCGGAGAATCTCGCTTTTCCCTCTGTGTATGTTCAAACCTAATGCTGCAGAGCCTACTGCCACACTGGCCGCTCTGTGTGTGGGATAGAAAAGCAAGATCATTTGTGAATTCTTAATCATATAGCTGCATGAGAGCTCACCACTAGATCCCCCTCAGATGTTCCCGTCTTCATTATGCAGATTCAGCCACCAGAAGAAAGGGTGAGAGCAAACAGAGGTTGAATCAGAGAGTTTGTTTCAAGAACATAATATTAGCAGCACCAAATAAATTATAGTTTTGAATAAAGCAAAACTGATCAATTCATACATTTACAATTGAAAAAAGCTTCATTCAATTATGAGCGCCAGTATCCCTACAAAATTCTTTCTTTGAAGTGGAGATGTTTATAGTTGTGGAGCTTTCATTGTCTTTCCCCATCTGAACATAACATGATCAGAACGAATGTTTTAGATAGCAGTAGTGTGAAGTATTCAAATTTTTCCACATGTGAGACTCATGATTAGCCTGTTGGACAGGTTAACCAGTCGATAACAACCAATTAAGAAGATTGAAGTCACACACAGGACAAGCTACAAGTGGATAGATATACATGAATCAAAATAAAAAACATCTCCAGCTTAGAGAATGAAAACTCTAACACAATTATTTCATCACTTCACTTACAGCATGAAGTTAACCAGTTCACTTTTGAATGAATCGATTTCATGTCATCATGACATGATGAAGATGTTTTATCATGATCATCGTCATCACCATCACCATCATCATCATCATAAGCATCGAAAAATGCATCTTCATCGTCACCATCATCCTCCTCCGCCTCCTCGTCATCGTCATCGTCATCATTACGATCACTTTGAATTGGTTTGGTTGACTGTTGATCACTTTCTCTAGCTGTTTATGATTTCAGGAAGAAAACAGAAAAAAATTAAATCGTTTTACACATTGAAATCATGGAATCAATCAATCAATCAATCAGTGTTGTTACATCGCCACAAACTAGCATTAGAAACTTAGAAGTATTGGAAGTATTATTGGCAGTCACAACCCCTAGTATGAGAGAAGACTAATTCATCATCAGCAGTATAATGTAAGCATCCATGCGTAAATTTAAATCCAAGAGCTTCGATGTCGGGGGCACGAATAGGCAGACAGACAAACAGACAGGTACAACGCAGAACTTCGTACGTCGTAGGTACATCAGTTCAGGTTGCCATAACACATCAGCACACAGAGACGCAACTGTCAGTTCAAAGCCAAGTGTGGTAGCCATAGTAGAGAAGTATTAGCATTAATGGATAAGGGATATGGGTTTACAGTTATTATTCAACAAGTATAATTCAGTAAGATAAATTTAGAAGGAGAAAGATAGAGATTATGAGGATATCAGAAGGTTAGAATCTCATAGAACACAGCGAGTGGATGCATCTGCGCCATTGCAAACGATTCTGAGCCATTTCGTTCAAGGTCTCTAACCATCGGTGTCTATCGTATCGCGTAACACAAACAGGTAGTCTATACTTACCAACATGACTCAATCCACTTGTCAGTGACTTCATGGACTTCTTCCATGTTTTGGTTTGGCCGCCCCTAACTTTCTTCCAATCTACTCCTACATTGCAAAACATAGCTCGTCGAGGTAGTCGGTGGTTAGGCATTCGTAACACATGTCCCAACCACCTCAATTGATGAAGTTTCAATACTTCATCTATTGGTTTGCCATCCTTACCTAGTACTCGTTTCCTAACAACAGCAATGCTTATACGGTTGTCTCATGATACATGAGCAATGCGCGTGCACGAATGCTTAACCAATTAGTTGACCACTAACTAGGACGACGAGCCGGTGGTCTCTCCAAAGGTGATGTTTATGCCTAAAAATTTATTCATAGCAATTTCAATGAGAAGTCAGTTGCGTAAACAGCATCAATTTTTATGTATAAGTTAACTGATGAAACTAACTGTAAAGCATGATAAATATTATTCAATTCATATGTGGATTACACATGTCCAGACATGGAATCTTAGATAACACAAATAATACATTGTATGAGACAATGAACCAGCGTCCAGGTAGGCTACCTTGAATCCCAAGCTGAGGCTTCGTAAGCGTAGAAAGTATATTCTACAAACACCCAGCAATCACAATGCAATCAAGCACACAACTCTCGTTTATTTATACAACATGGAAACGTCCTTGGGACAGTTAAGAAAATAGCACACTCAAATACACAGCAGCCAATCACAGACATGGATTTTCCTGGTGGATGGGAAATGAAATCGCAAGGTCAACTGATCAGCCCATGCTGGTAAACGTGAAATCCAAAAATAAAGGCATTTAACAAGCGAGTTCTGGGGAATCTAACATTCCCAACAAAGACTTCAATAACAAATTAGTGGTGCACATCCATTCCAGAATCCTGATCACAAACTACTAGCGTATGAACACATATATATTGTTGGTCGCCGGTTTACCAGTTGGATTTACATTTCCTCTAACATTTTTTCCTCCACTGCCTTATGGATTAAACCTGTGTACAACAGGCTTGAACTGATGTAGTTGTCTACGCAAAATACTTCATATTTGTTGACCAGACACCATCAGCAACAACTTACTGTAGGAGAGAACAAACCAGATTCCAGTGGAGGAGGAAATCAGGAAGAAGCGGTGGAGTTGGTGGATAGGACACACACTATGAAAAGCACCTAACTACGTCACGAGACAAGCTATCACATGGAACCCTCAGGGAAAAAGGAAAAGAGGAAGGCCAAAGAACACACTACGCCGAGAAATAGAGAAAGATATGAGAGGAATGAACAAACATTGGACAGAACTGGAGAGGGAAGCCCAGGACAGAGTTGGTTGGAGAAAACTGGTGGGCGGCCTATGCTCCATTGGGGGTAACAGGGGTAAGTAAGTAAGTAAGTAAGTAACAACAGGCTTGAACAGTGGCACCTCTAGAGGTAAAAATAACAAAAAAAAATAATTCTTTTAAAAAAAAAACTATGAAAATCTAAATTTACCTTTTAAAATACACTCATTAAATCGATTCAAAATACAATTCCAATCATAGTGACAATCAATAGGCCAATGGTTAAATGGTAATTGATCAATTGTTAATTGAAGTGCATTATCATTCCATGCCTTGTTCAATGGTGGCAGCCAGTGTGGATTGTCGATTGATGTTTCCGATGTGATGAATTCTTCTTCTTCTTCATTATTGAATACTTCTTCATATAATATTGACGCTGGTAAACAAATTAAACGATCTAAACGTAGTTCCAGTTCAATGTACAATTCATTGAACATCCGTATGATCAATAATAGACAATCATTCAAATCACAATGTTTATAAATAAATAAATTTGCTATAATTATAGCTAAACGATGTGTTAACGAATGAGGATTTGGTAAACCAAAAAGAGAAGCAAATTTTGCTCGCTATTGAATGAGTGAGTATAAATAAAATAAAAAAGAGAGAGAGAACATTTATAATTATGAATGAATGAATGAAAAAAATTGAAATTTTTGAAAAACAATATATAAACATAATTAAATGTATTTTTTTTTTTGAAAAATTGAGTTGATCAATGTTAGAACATATACATCAGTAGAAGGCTAGAAGCATTGGACAGCTGTTTTGTTCTAGAATCAAAGAGACTAATCAGCCAGCAGGTCCGCACATGGTACTTGAACCAAGAAGTTTGGAACTGGCGCGCCCGCGACCGTCAAAATCTGTAGATCAGTCAGTCAGTCAGTCAGTTGCAACGTAGAACTTCGTACGGATGTACATATGTTCATGTTGCCATACCACATTAGCGCAGAGACACAACTGTCAGTTCAAATACGACAGTTGTAGAGATAGTAGAAGTATTAATGGTAATGAAGAAGACTAGGGTTCGAAGATATTATTCAAGAAATATAAATCAGTGAGATAAGGTTAGAAAGACAAAGGTAGACGTGCTGACGAATCCAGAAGATTAGGATTTGAGAGAGCACAAAGAGTGGATGCACTTGCGCCAGCGCAAACAATTTTGAGCCATTTCGTTCAAGGTCTCTAACCATTGGTGACTATCGTCTCGCGGACCCCAACCAACACGACTCAGTCCACTTGTCAGTGACTTCATGGATTTGTGCCATGTTTTGGTTTGGCCATCCTTAGCTTTCTTCCAACCTACTCTTACACCACAAAACATAGCTCGTCGCGGCAGTCGGTGGTTACCCATACGTAACACATGTCCTAACCACCTCAACTGATGAAGTTTCACCTCTTCATCGCCAGATCACTGAGTAGGCACCAGAAAGTCTTGACAGCTTACTCATAAACACACCTAACAGCATTCTAAAGTTATTCATGGTAAAGCACCAACTTGCTCAAAGATTATTGCTTATTGAAGCAAAATGAATATGAATGATTCGTTTAAAGACAAATATGAATTTGTATAGTTATTATTACGTACGATACATGATGTTAGATTGTGATGCAGTTACTGCTTCTGAAGTACGGCTAGCATTACTGCTTGTCTCGATCCCAGGATAAATAAAGTAGGACAGTAGGCCATATGGGCTGGGTGGTTAGCGACCCGATCGCATAGAAAACAATCATGCCGGAAAAAAAGAAACGCTAACTGTAAGAAAACCATTATCATCTAATTGTGATATGATAAAAGGCTGAAAAAAATTGTTTTTACAGGACACAATTGTTAGGATATTCACCAAATATCCTGAGAATACTATTTTTAGAAGTACAATCCTATTGGTCGATTTCCATTGGCCGAAATTATGATCGTTCTAACCGTCAAGGTCAAATACTTCAATGTTGCCTCTTATTGGTCATCTGGGCTGTCGATGTCATTCAAATGTTCTTTTCTATTGGCCGTCCTAAACTGTCAATGTCACAGACGTTGATGCTTTCTTCTTATACGACCTTAATGTATAAATACGCACTATCTGAAAAACCCAATAATTCGTTTCTCCTGCCTACATCTGTTCTGTATTCGACCCAATAAACAACTCCGTCCCACGGTGTTGCGTTCCGATATCTAGGAGATTTGGAAATAGCATTTTGGGTCGTATTGGAATATTTGAATTGGACGCCGCTAGGACTGAATAGCCCATACATAGCAGCGTTTACAACAACAATAATAATCACAACAATTTTCTATTCGCTAGAGGATAAAGTGAAAATCTATAGCAGCTGTATCACTATGATGAAGTGTAGTGTCGTTCAAAATCATAAACGCAATAAGTTCTACTCTACCACCACCACCGACCTACTACTCCGAAACAGACTATTTCAGTGACTCGACAAGAAGAATGGCAGATAACGTCTGTTTAAACAATCCGTGTACAGTAGGAGGAAGAAATTTATTTATATTAATTAAATGAGATCATTGAAATACACACACACACACACACACAAAACTCTTACTTCTGACGAATTTTGTATTGGTTTACGATTCCACACTAATAATTCATGCATTGATGATAAATCACCAAATGATAATGTCAATTCATTAGAAAGTACTTTATTACAAACACCTTCAGCATCGGCATCAGGGAAAAGAAACTAAAAATATGATCAGGGAATGAAAAAAAAAAAACAAACAAACAGACAAGTAAGATCGATCATGATCATGATAATGATGATGATGAGATGAAATATTTCGATATTTGAAATATTAATAATAATACAACGGGGAGAGTTGTAATCATGGTGTTTAAACACCGACCTGGAGCTCTTCCTCCGGTACCTTCTGACGTTCACAAGCAGGAATAAAGGAGGCAGGTGGTTGGGCATAGACAGGCGTTAACAGTCAGATAAGGGCATGTGAGTAGAGTTAGTTGTGGAGAGAAGGGAGATATGTGTAGGTGTAGGAAGGATTTGATTTTGACCAATTTGGTTTCGCGTGCTGTTACGGGTATGAGGGCGGTTGTCACTTTCCGGCTGCCCACATCGTGGAAGGTTGTTTTTTCTTGAAGGACCTGAAAAGAAAGATAGATTAGTGTTGGTCTTAGAGACCTGGGAGCGTGACCGCACGGTCCAAGGGACAACTCCTTGAGGTCGGTCACGCACAGCCTTTTTATGAGAAGCTTTTTGAATGTTAGCTCTGCTCTTGAAAGCCCTTAGTGGGCACCCTTACGCAAGGAGACGGAAATCTGTGAGGTAGGGTGAGGTGTGACATTTTGAGGGTCGACGTTTTCTAACCTTTCCTTCCTTCCTTGTGAGAAGGCAGCATCGCTGCAGATGATGGTTGTCCGAAGGAAACGCCATACTGCTGTCACACCCCTCCATCACAGTCAGCAGTACGACTTCCTCCTCAGACCTTAGGCAGCTGCTTTCAGTCTTATTGTTCTCCAATCGACCTGTCTGGCATGGTAGAACCTTCAGGAACATATGTTCCAACCAGTATAGCTCGGTTGGGTCGCCATGATAAGCAAGTCCGACCACCAAGTCAAGGTAGAAGCTACGGTCGGGGCGTATGCGTTAACGACCTCATCCCGTAGAAAACAACAACTTGCAATACAAAAAAACCCACTAATAATTGGGCTTGAAGACTACTAACACTAGAACACAGAAGAGACGGTCAATAACTTACTACGACTATGTGAATGAATGTTTAAAGAGTATGTATTGATCTGAAAGTTGAGATCATTAGAATTTGAGTGCCGACAAAGAGTGGATGGATGCATCTGCGCTATTGTAAACGATTTTGAGCTATATCATTCAAGGTTTCTAACTACTATCAGTTACTATTGTCTCTTTAAGCCCCAAACAGATAGGTAGTCTACGGAACCAACATGGCTTAGTTCAGTCGTAAGTGACTTTTATGAATGTCTTGGTTTGGTCACCCAGCATACACGAACAATGATTATAAGACACCTATGATCGAATACTAGCAACCTTTGAGTATCGTCTACTTTTACCAACCAGATAATACATCACAAACAAAAGATATAAAAAAAATAATTCAGTCATCGATGATACACATACTGTGGTGTGTGCTACTTATACGAACGATATAAGTAGTATAAGAAGGGACGTGAAAGAAGAAGTCTCACGGTCAGAAGAGGAAAATGGAAAGCAAATGGAGCAAAAGCAAGAAGTAAATGGAGTAGTATCAACAGGAAGGAAAGGAAGCAACAGCAAGAATGGAGGAAGGAAGGATGGAGCGTTGGAAGTCACGACTCAAAGATGGTGTGCAAATAGAGTGGTGTTCAATGTAATGTTTTCGTTTTTAATTGACTAAGAGTGTAAATTTGCATAATACACAATCTTCCGCGCCTACCTCAGTCTTCTCAATACTATTCAAAACCAAAATATTCGCTTTGTTCAAAGTTGTGTGTTGTACAATATATTGTAACGATTATGTTTTTTTCATACATGAACACACACTACTAATATTACTACTTACTAATAGAAACTGAACGACCGAATCGCTTGATAAATCGAAACCTAAACAAATAGAAAAGATATATTGCAAAAAGAATGAAACACAATCAAAGCATAAAATAAGTGGGATTATTGATCGGGGAACATGAAACGTTGATGAGTTAAAAACAACAGAAATCGATATAGAGCACATGGATTCAACAAATATATTTATATATATTTGCCAAAAAGGATTTGAGGATAGTGATAGGGAGTGTGAAGTAGTTGAGATTGTCGAACGCAGCACTTATCTTGAGAGTCTCATCAGTGCTGATTACCTGGTGGTCCTACGAAATCTCAGTTCGGATACAGAAGGCTAGATTGGATTTTCCCAACTTGTATCATCCATAGAGTAGGCGACATATTCGGCTAACAAACAAAGAACGGGTTTACTTACAAAGCAGTTCTCTCCATCCAACTTTATGGGTGTGAAATATAGCCAGTAGAGGATATTCACAGGTTACTAGTATTTGGTCGTCATCGGTGTCTCGGATACATTGCTCTTATATCCTGGAATAATCGAGTGAGCCATCCCATTGGTTAGGAAACGAGTACTAGGTAAGGATAGTAGATCCATGAAGTCACTGACAACTGGACTGAGTCATGTTGGTGAATGTAGACTACCTGGTTGAGATCTGCGAGATGATTGTACCTAAATAATTGAGACCTTGAATGACATGACTCAAAATCGTTTGCAATGGCGCAGGTGCATCCATTCATTCACCTTTATAATTTTTTAAAGTTTCTTTCACTAGATTATACTTCTTGAATAATATCATTTAACCCTAATCTCTAAGACTACTGCTAACACTTCTACTAACTTTACCACTAAGGGATTTCAACTGACAGTCGCGTCTCTGTACTAATGTGGCATGGCAATTTAAACTGATGTATATATACGTTGTTGCTGACTGATTGACAGGTCTCTAAGAACAACATTAATCCTATTTCCTTTTAAGGTTCCTCAAGAAATACTCTTCCACGACGTGGGCAGCCAGGAAGTGACATCCGCCCCCATACTCGTAACAACACACGAGACCAAACTATCCCCCCAACGAAACTAGTCCCTAGTGAGCATATGATAAACGACAGTGTGAAAATTGTGAAAATACAATTGAATTCGATTGAAATCATGAATAACTGATCATTGTATTTGATTCAGATCATATATATCAATAGTTGATAGTTATGTACATAAAAATGTTTTGAGTATATATTTGCTCCTAGATGTACCTTTATCCTCGTCCGACTTTTCAGGAGTCGACTTTCTACCAGGATAATCGCTTACTGACTTAGAATGTGCCGATGACATAGTTCTATTCGGTAAAGACGCTGACAAAATGCAGAGTCTTCTGACTACCCTAAGCAACAATGCAAGCATGTTCAGAATGCGGCTCCCCCCACCCTAGAAATGGAAAAATGTTGCTTCAAGATTGGGTTGTATCGGCATCTGAACTAGTGATAGGGAGTGAAGTAGTCGAGCGTGTATACCGCTTCACTTATCTGGGGACTGTCATCAGTGCTGATGGCCTGGTGACTGGGGAAATCTCTGCACGGATACAGAAGGCTCGATTTGCTTTTGCAAACCTGCGTCACTTAACCAGATCACATTGCCATCAGCCACCGATGGAGGGGTTTGATAGGAGACTGTCGCTTGTTGTGGGGCACATGTTTAGATTCAGATCATGCCCTAGTGCGAGCGCGTATTTGTTGGCCTCAATAATACTTCGGCGCCTAACGAAAGCTCATGAAGAGAAAACTAGAGAAAACCAGTCTGGTTTTCGACCTGGACGGGGTTGTATAGACCACATCTTCACACTAAAACAGGTCCTGGAACATAGACACACATTTAGGCGTCCTACAATAGTTGTTTTTTCAGTGGTGAAATCAGTTTATACCATGTTCATTGACTGATTCGGTTAACTGATTCACCATCTACTAACGAAAGATATATGCGGTGGCTGGTGATGTGGTAATTCCATTAACCCTTAGCATTTTAATGTGACTTCGACGTTTTTACTTATTCAGGTATTCTGCAATTGCCAATGGAGAGATTATCGAAATCATCGTGATTGGAATACCTATTTGTTGATGACCACTAATTTTGAACGATTCATATGTTCAATTGAAAATTTTTTAATTTCTTTAGGTATTCGTCCTGATGCATTACTGCAAATTGGGTCGTTCAATTTTTGAACAAATTTGCTTGAAATAAAATGACACGAGCAGTAGATTTTCTAACTGGATCATTTCACGCTCCTACAAGTTATGTTGATAACTATTTCATCTGTATTCTTTGGTTTAATCCACACAAAATGCTGTCGCACATGAACCTAGAATTTGATCACTCGGATTTCATACGCAAACGTATTAGATTATTTCAAATACAACTGTTTAGTGAAAAAAATAATATAAAATTCGCTCACGTGGTAAATATTTATTGCAGCATTTTTTTACACAAACTAATAAATGTATTTTGATCCGTTTTACAAAAACTTCACACTGATCTGAATGTTGAAATTTGTGAATCCTTTACAGGCCATCAGATAATTTACTGTCTATTTGAAGTTATCTAAACGTAACCTTTGTTGAAGTGGTTAAGTGTGTATCACATTTTTTTCCATCAATTCACCCTACTCTCATTGTAGTGCATGGGTCATTGTTATATAAGTGAGATCTTTTGAGAAGTCAAATTATGCTCAACAGTTATTTTATGTCAGTGAGTAGGTGACTGTATTCATTTAAAGTTATGTATCAGTTAATGTTATTTTCGACCAAAATGATGTTAAATTGTAACAGTAATTCTGTAAAATGTGGTTTGAACCAGCACTCAGCCAGTTTACCATATATAGGGACGATAAACAATAGACCAGTGAGGTTTATAATAATTTTACCAATATCATCATGACCATAATGTGGAAACAGATTGTGAAATGGTCAATTGATATCAGCTCACAGACTCGTCGCAAATGAACACAAGTGTCAGACAAGGCTGCTAACTTTCGTCGGTCATCATTCTCCTGCTGATCGACATCAAAATGCGGAAGGTAAAACAGAGTACAGTGAACCTTTCTGAAAAGAGATTGACGAGTTTAACTTCGCAGATGATTTGGCTATTTCATTCTAACAACAAATTCAAGTCAGGATAACCTTTGAAGCCGCTGTGTCAGCAGCAGTATTTCTCAATATACATAAGTGCGTAAGCAAGATTCTCTTTCCCAACATAAAATGCACAATATTATTCAGACAAGACGGAAAAGCTTTGCAGATATCGAATATATTTCAGCAGCAACCTTGACGATAAGGTTGTATCTTATGAAAATGTAAAGAAGGAGATAAGAAACTCAAGGAATGTTCATAGAAAATGGAGCAAAATCTGCAACCAAATACAACCAACCACTAGCAGCAGCATCTTTGGCAGTTGTTATCAATATACGAATGGGTGAAAGCAAGATATTACGATATAACACAACATGCACAATGCAAATCACACCTGATGGGAAAATTTTGCTGGATGCAGAAATTTTTTCACATCTAGGCAACATAGTTGATGAGTCTCGTCGATCTTATGAAGGTATTACGGCGCGGATCGGCAAACGAAGGACAGAATTTCTATAGTTGTACAATATCTGGAAATGATAACAACCATCAGTCAACACTAAAGCAATCGTCAACACAATTCTACTGTATGGTGCGGAAACTTGTTGAACCGCGAAAAATATTATTCAGAAGATTCGATTTTCTGTATACAGTTGTCTACAGGGAAAACGTCAGATCCGCGGGCCACACATAATAAACATGGGACTACTGTGCGGAGAGCAAATTAGATACATGCGGACGAATGAATCAGGAACAAGCAATGAAGGTGGTTGATAGGGCACAGGTTTACGAAATCACGGGTCTGCAGAACTGGAGAAGCCTGCAAGTGCAACGGTCGAGGTCAAATACAATAAAAAAGACCAAAAAAAACATCACAGTGGGAAATGAAGTGAGAGATGTGAAGAATGAATAACGAATAGGAGGAAAAAGAAAGGAAGGTTCAAGAATAGTTCACGTGAAGTATGCACATGAACAGTTTATACGAATTCAGGAGCAACGAGCGATACTTTGTATATAAGTAATATTATTATAGTACCGATTCAATGTTCAAAATATGAGCGATGTATACGGACACTAACATTCTTGACTGACGTTAAATATCTGTACTGAAAGTCGTTGCGTCATGTTGACAAAGCTAAATTCCGACCTTCTCAACCATTTTTATTGAAGTGTGCTCCTAAGTATCCCTAGGTATGGTAGATATGCATGTTTCAAAAGCCATGAACAAAAAACTGATCCTGTTCATATTTCCAAGCATGAAATTTTATATTTGCTTTACAATTTTTTGCTGTAACATTGAAATAAATGCATCATACAATTGTTTTCATAGTCCAATTATGACAGTATTGACTGCTGTTGTTCCGACTCGTCCACGGACGCACAATTCAAGCGATACAATAAATGAGCCGTCAAATCCTGATCGTCTGCTGGTTGTCTCATTATACACTGGCGAAGTACTTTGTTGTTTCATTTTATAATTCTTAATCGAAATAGGTTCTTATGCTCACATTCGTACAAATAGCCTTCACATCGCTCATTGTTTTCATCTTCTCACCAGAGTAAATTGCTCGGGTAATAATCACTTTATTGATTCAGTGTTGTTCAAAATTTGTTGAACAATGATTCGAGAATACAGTTGAACATTGCTGCTTTATTTGCGTAAGTTCCCTGATCTTATATCCATATTGCCGTCAATTTGTGTAAGGAATGATTAGGATAAGAATTTTATTAAAACAGAATTTCGCTTTATCAACAGAATTCGATTGAAATAACATAAGTATTGTATTACGTTTTATGTGAGTAAACATAGTGATGCTAAGAAATATCGATTAAATAATCATCGAATTGAAGAGAGTAAATGTGAGAAACAGACAAGGGGAGATGTTTCGGAAAGTTAGATAATTATCGAAAACACGATTTGAGAC